ACAGGAGGAATTTCAGGGAATTCACCCCAAAAGGGCAGCAGGGAGCTGGAAGGGATGGATTTGAGTGGAAAAAGGGATGGACTCACTTYCTGTTCCTTTTCCTGGCGCGGCTGAACGCCTCCAGCCCCTCCGTTAGTGTCTTCAGCTTCTCGGGCTCCACCTGCAGAGGGATGGAAAAYACACCAGGTTAAAACAGCTCCAACCTCCCCAAATTCCTGGGATTTCCTTGGGTAGGAACCACAGCTGGACCTYCCCACCCTGCAGGGACCAAAATTCCTTCCCCAACAGCGACAAAAACGCAAATCCGGACGTTGGCGGAGACAAAATGGAGGAGGAAAATCTTACAAAAGATCTTTYTTGGCTTTGCTTTTCCAAATGGATTTTTCACCTGGATTTTCCACCTGGATTTTGCACCTGGAAATCCCAGTGCCTGGGATTGATGGTCCCAGTTTGACACCAAAGCATTCCCAGTTCCCAGGTGAAGAATTTCAGGTCTCTGCTCAAACTCACGGCACGGCCAAGTTCATTCCCATTCCCAAAAAAATCTTTATTTTCTTCATGAATTAAGGACTCTGCACCGGAGTCCACCTTATTTATTTGTCTTAAAATTGGCAATTTAAATGATTTTAAATATTTATTATTGTATTGTATTGTAAGTATTATTACTTATTTATTATTATTATTGTTATTATTATTATTTTAATTTTTTTTTCTTTAGCGATCAGGGATTGATTTGGGCACGTGCTCAAGAGAACTGGGAATTCAAATCCTCAATATTTCAAAATTCAAACATTTTCAACCCCTGTGTGGGCACCAGTTATCCCAGTGTAGACAGTACAAGTAGAAAATTAATGAAAACCTCTATAATTTCATCATTTGCACCTCAAAACATAAATCCACTGTATTATTTCGAGCTGGCTCAGTCATTTCTGCTGATAAAAACCACAAAATCTGATATTTATCACACATCAGCCTCAAGGAAATGAATGGTTCAGTTCCTGTTTCTTTTCTCCACCTCACCTGACATTTTTACATAAATACAAATTTATTGAGTGCCCATACACAACCTGAAAATTAAATGGAAATGAAAATTCCCTCCAAACTCAGCTTTCCAATCATTCAATAATTTATATTCACCACGGATCTGCTGCGTGGACACAACAAAGTGAAGTTAATGAGTGAGAGKTGCCAAAATCTCCCAAAATAAGGCCCAAAATTACAGATTTAGATCAAATTTCAATRTCTTGAAGTCACACCTGTGCTAAAGAAATCAGGAATGTGCTGGTCCGGGCATTTCCATGAGCATTGCTGGAAAAATCTTCCATTTCAATTTTCACAAAATAAATTCAATTATGCCACAAATTGTTGCATTTTCCCCTTAAAAATGTGCTCTTTTTTTATGCAAATACTCCCAATAATYCCTCACCTCTCTGGATTTTAGAAAATACAAATGCACTCGGAAGAAATCACAAACCTGGGGAGTTTTTTTAAGGGTAAACATGAGGAAAAAAAAGGAATTATTCCTATTCATGTGTGACTGAGGAACAAACTGCCAGGAGAGAAAGAGCAAAGTTCAATGGAAATAATGATATCAAGAATTAATATTTTTGGCAAAAAAAAAAATTTTGAAAGTAACAAAAACCTCTTAATTATTGGCATTTTGTGATGGTTATACATAAAAAAGGATTTTTTTTTTGTTTTTGGAAGAATTATCAAATTGCTCCGTGACAGAGTATGGAAAGCAGATCTAACAGAAATAATAATTAATAATATCATTAATATCAACAACACCCAGAGATGGGATAAATCCCCCTGGTTTACCAGCAAAGAACCAGCAAAGCCCAGTTTAAGGAACCCAGTTTAACCTGTCCAGTTTAACCTGTCCAGTTTAACCCCTAGAAAATCAAATTAAGATCAGGATTTGCCCTGGTAAAATTCACCACAAAAAAAACCACCACAAAACCTTTGATTGCTCTCAAATCCTTGGTCCAGTTTAGGTGATTTGTGTGGATAATAATCTAATTAATTGCTTAATGAGATAAATATCCTGTGCTTTGGGATATGGACAGACTCAGATTTATTCTCAGATATTTTGGCTGCATTTCCTTGGGCTCCTCGAATTTCCAGCAGCCAAAAAAATTGCTGGAAAAGACAGAAAAGTGCAATCCTGTTTGGGAAACACCACTCTCCAAACAAACCCAACATTCCATGAAATCCCTGAATGCCCCAAAACTTTTAAATGGAAACAAAAATCAAATAATGAATAACCCAAAGAACAGAGAASGCACAAATCCCAACAGTAAATTAATAAAATACAGAAAGGTCACATTTGGTTACACAGAGACTTTCAAAGAGGTTTTAAGAAAGCTCCAGAGAAAAGGGAATTTTCAAAGTGCTGCAGGTGAAGAATTCCTGAAGAACATTTGGTTTTTGAGGTTGTTTCTTTTTGGTTTTCCAGGTGATTCCATTGTGGTTTTCCAGGTGATTCCTGGAAGAATTTCAGGTGATTTCTTCTGCTTTGGTGTGGGTTTTTTCCTCAGCTCCTGCCCTTTGGAATGGCCACTCACTCTTCTTGCAGGAGGAATCAGACACATTTCTTTGATTTTTCAATTTAAAATGATTAAATTCAAGGTGATCTGATGCCAGAGGTGATCCATGGAGTGGGATTTCCTCACAAGAACTTGGGCTGGTGTTCACCTTGACAGGAGAATTCCAAGGAGCTGCTTCCCTGCTTTTTGTGCCCAATAAAATTGGTGCCACTGGATTTAACATCACACAATTCCCATAAAAAACCCACAATAATCAAAGAGACACACTCAGGTACCCATAAATTTAGGAGGAAACAAAAAATTGCTAAAAATGCAAATAAAAAATTTCCCCTCTTTACAGAAATTATAGAAAAATCAACCCTTCAATTCTATTGAACATTCACAGAGATTTAGACACACAGGTTTGGAGTTAATCCATAAAAGCACGTTGGGAATGGGAATGTTGTTCCATGGATATTGGACATGGAATTCTTCCAGCTTTATTTCATCCCTGAAGAGTTTGGGATTTTCTCCTGTGCCTCCAATTCCTAAGCTGATGTGTAATTCAGGGATCTGAGCTTCCTTTGGGGACATTGTCCTGCTTTGGGCTGGGTGGGATGGAATAAACCACGGAAAGCTCTGGAATTCTGTCCCTGTCCCTGAATTTCTTCTGCTCCAGGGGTGAAACCACCGTGGCCCAACAGAGCCCAGGATTGCAGTGGGATGGAATGGAATTCCCAGAGAAGCTGTGGGAWTGAGCTTCTCGTCCCCTCTCTCCTCTGGGTATCTGCCCTTGGCTGAATTTTTTGCAAAGTGACACTTTGGTCCAACCCACTGTCACAATTTTTCAGTGGTTTCATCTCTTTGTGTCACAGACAAACCCTGTTTCCTTAAATCTCTCCTTTCTGCTTATGCATTTTAAAAATTCACATTTTATAAAATGGTGCTTGAAAATATTTATATGTGGAAGGCATTCTGTCAGAACTACAAAGATATAATGTTACACAAGTAATGGAGACCACACCTGGGAATGTATTTCATAATAAAATAACCAATAATTCTTTGATAAGTGCATTTTTGTGTATTCCCCATCAAGCATGTGATTTGTTGACACAAACAAAAGGATTTTAGTATGAAACAAGAAACTGGAACACTTTTGTTATTACTGAATGATCAAAACCTCCTTTAAAGTTTAACTTTAAAGCTGGAAATGGGTGTTCATTTCCTGTGAGGAGTGTGTGTGTGTCCATCAGCAACATTTTCCTCATCACACACTCCTCAATCTGATTAGGCCACTTCTCCTCTTGGCATTTAACACTTTCAGGAATTCCCGTGTGGGATTCTTTGCACAGAGCCAGGAATGGGGCTGAACACACCACGGAAGCGAGAACAAGTTTTTGCTAACCCCAAAAAAACATTCAGCAAAACCCAAATGGAACCTGGCTCGTGGCCCTGGCAGAGAATTCTCAGGTAAATACAGGGAAATTCAGCAAAAACCATCGGTGCTGCTGAAAGGAGAGACAGATAAATAAAGGAGGCCGAGTTTGGATAACCATCTGTGGGGAGAGAGAGAGAGACACGTGCATAGAGATAGAAATATACCTTCCCCTCCTCAGCGTTCTGCTGACAGGAATTGTGAACCTCTTCRTCTCTGCCAAGCTTCCCAGGCCAGGAAGTCAGTCCTTTGATCTGGCCCCAGACCAAGTCGCCCACGTTAAACGTCCTCGGCCTGTAGTGGATGAGCTCGTGGGAAGAGGGCGAGTCGGGGTTGCGCAGATCCTCCTCGCTGCTGATGCTCTTAGCATCCGAGGGGCTGGGCACGCAGCCGTTAATGCTTTTGGCATTGAAATCTCCATTGTAATGGATGTAGTCTTTCACCAAGGAGCTCTCCAAGCTGTTGGAGGAGCTGGGGGATTGCTCCTCCAGGATCAGCTCTTGCTTGGAAGCGTTGAGCAACTCCCCGAAGGCCCTGTTGGGCTGCGGGCGGTTCCCGTTGATGTGTGCACATCGTTCCACAGTGTTCTCCAGTCTTTCCTTGAAACTCATCATAGTTCTTTTGTAATTGTTATACCTGAAATTCTCCTCCGGCGTTTTCTCGCTCTGGCAGTTGCGTTGGGCCAGCAGGACCTGGTGCTGCTCGGCCGGCAGCGGCGGCGGAGCCGAGACGTTGTTGGGTCTCTCTCGGCACGGGCTGCCGTGCCCGTGGGCGGGGTGCTCCAGGAACTCCTCGCATTTCCACCTGCTGATGTCCCCCCCGGGGCTCTGCTCCCCTTCCCACTGTTTTTTGGGCGTGCTGCAGGCGGCCGCCCTGTAATAGTCGAAGGCGTCGCCCTCGGCCTTGGCGTGCTCYGAGCTCTTGGGGAGCCGCGCGCCCCGCGCGTTGCGCGCCCGGCCCTCGTGGATGACGGCGCCCGCCAGGCTCAGCGGGTCCCCGATGGAGGCTGTGAAGGCACTCATGGCACTCAGGGCTGGGATGGGGCTGGGCTGCGTGGAGCCGGAGCCCGCCGTGCTGATCACCACCGGCACGCCCTTGCTGGCGGCGTCCACCACCGCCTTGTAGATGGCGTCCACCGAGGCGTCGCCCGCGGCCGCCGTGGCGTTGTTGGGGTTCTCCTTGGCTTGCTGGCCCAGGGACGGCTCAGTTCTCTGCTGCAGATCGCAGGGGGGCTCCTGGAAGGGAGGGAGGAGAGTGCTGGAGCTCTCGGGGACCGGCGCCATGCCCATCTGCGTGATCATTCTTTTGTTCAGGACGGCGGCGTCTTCCTGCATCCTCACCTGGGGAAACGAGAGGGAAAGATGGCAATTGCTGTTTCAGCTCAGGTTGGCTTTCAACAGACWAACTGTGGGATTAATCCTTACAGTTTGCCTTTGTTCTACATCACTTACAAAGTTTAATGCTGAACAAGAGAAAATTGAACCCCTAATTGAGAGGGAAATGAAAGCCTTGTGGCAGGGTTTGCCTCGTGGGTTGTGGGACACCCTGCAGGATGTGACATGAACTCCCTCACTGCTGGGCCAGCACCATCACCTCCTGCAGAGCCTGCAGGGATTTCCTCTCCTGACCAAAGCACAGCAGCCTCCTGCTTTGTGTCAACTCCTAACCACCTTCTCCAAGGTCAATAATCCTGATATAGAGCCACAGGATGGTTGGGGTGGAAAAGACCTCGAAGTCCATCCAGTGCCAGTGACAGCTTCCACCATCCCAGAGTGCTCCAAACCCCGTCCAACCCAGCCCTGGGCACTGCCAGGGATCCAGGGGCTGCCACAGCTTCTCTGGGCACCCTGTGCCAGGGTCTGACCACCGTCACATGGAAGAGTTTCTTCCCAATATCCCACCCGAATTTCCCCTCTTTCAGTTTGAACCCAGTCCCCCACAGCAATCTGGCCCCTCCAGATCCAACCAGCTGAGCTTTCCCTACTCCTGGTTACATCCAGAGGCAGGGACCACAATGTCAACATGAGCACTGCAATAAAAAACCTAAAACACAAGGGGAAATATCCCAAAAGGCTTTAATTCCTCGCCATGAGTGTTTATATGACCAGGAATGCGACACAACAAACACGGAGCTAAAGCAACCAAAATTCCTACAGAGAATTGGAATCTCTTAGAGAACTGAGAATTTCCAGGGAAATTTCTCCACAGCTCCTTTTTCCTCCTGCACTCCCACCCTCCCACCTGCAGCTCTGCAGCAACAGASYAACAACAAATCCCTGCTTTCCCTCTGCGTTTGTTTTTGCTGGGTTTATTCAATTCCCTGCATTAGGAATAACTGCTTTTGGGGAGCAGGGAAATCTCATTTTTGCCCAGTTTGTTGTGGTTTATTCTGTGCAATCCCTGTTTTTCCAGGCTGTACAATCCACATCACAGCTCCTCCATCCCGTTTCGGTGGGAACACAAGAGGACTGGTGCACTGTCACCTATAACAACTTTTTAAGTTTCTAATTACTGCAAAGTGCTAGCAGTGTTTATTTCTCACTGCTGAATTATCAGAATGGGCTAAATGGGAATTTAGGATCATTTCTGTGGGATGGAAAAGAGTTCTGCTAAAATTCTGTTGTGATTGTCAGCACACAGAGAGGAATTTTTTWAATAACCCAGCACAACTCTTTCCAAAAGAACTAAACCCAATTCCTAAGGAGAAAGGGATAAAATTTTAATAACAAATGTTCCTGATTTGCTAAATCCATGAGCCAGTGGATTATATTGCATACAGTGTATCTGTAATTATATAAATCACATTGTTTTAATCAGCAAAGAAACACAATCTCTGGAGGATTTCTGATGGTATCTGTGATAAAATCAAATGGCAAAATACGTTGGGGAATTCAATATGGGTGGGAATATATATATGGGTGGGAATATATATATGGGTGGGAATTCCCAACCCCACAAGAATTTGTAAAGAAAAAAATGTAAACTGGGGTGGTCTAAAATCCATCACTTGGCCTGAAAAGAAGGAGCAGCTGGGTAAATTCACCATGAGAAGGCGACAAAGAAAGAGCAAAAATCTTTAGAATTAAAGCAAAGAAATTGCCTTGAMCTACACCTTCCTACTTTATTCATTGCAGCTCATTGGAGAACATTCCAAYATAAAATTCCACCTGCTGAGAGCTGCACAATTGTTTGAATATCAATTCCATGTTGTCCTCTACCTGGAAATTCTGGAACAGACACGCCATGGGGTTTGGGTTGTTGGCTGGGCCAGGAATTTGGGGCTGCCCTTGAAAGCCCTGCACGTTCTGGTAACCCTGGAGAAGGTGCTGCTGCTGCTGCTGCTGCTGCTGTTGTTGCTGCTGCTGCTGCTGCTGATTGGAAGGAAACATCTGATTGTTGTTGAGGAGTGACTGCAGGTGGCTCAGCTGATGGTTGTTCAGAGTAGTGTTCAGGGAGGACATGTCCCCTGCAATCCAAGAACAGCAAACACAAATCAGCAATTCCCCCCCCGTTCCAAACTGAACTGAAAGCTGCTGCTCTGCCATCATCCCCCAGGAACGGGGCTCTCCTGATCTTTATTTGTTTGCTGTTGGTTTTTTGTTGTGTCATTTCCACCTGGGTGAAGGTTCCTGGAACAGCCACGTGTGGCAGGAGGAGCCTCTGTGGAATTCCTTGGAATATCACTGGAACAGCATTGGGGTGGTGAGGGCGTGAGGAAGGCAYGGAGAGAAAGAATTTAAACCCTCCAAAAAAAGTTTTCTTCACTAACTGTGAAGGAGAAAAGGATTTTTGGCTCAGCCAGGTCACACAACACTCCAAACAGCTTTTTTTTTTACATTCTAAAATAAAATTGTATTAACGTTTTCGATCACATAAAAATTTCAATTCACATGAACATTTAGCTCCTAAAAAAACCAAACACACTGTTGATCCTGACTTTATAAAATACTCTRCTTAATGAACCATCCAATCCCTGGTTTGCTTCTTTTTAAAAATTTAAAATGTTGTGTTTTCCTGGAAATTTCCATTTGAAGGGTCATTGGTCAGTTGTACTTCACACAGAAAATGCTGAGCAGGGTTGAGTTCACTGTAGCCATTTGGAAGGTCAGGGTGATTTAAATAATTATTTCAATTACTATATCTAAACAATATTTAAATAATGAAATTATTATTTATTTATGTATTTAATTTCATTATTAATTATGAATTTAATTATTATTATTTCATTCCCACCAGGAGTACATTACACAGACCAATCAGAGGAGTACCCACTCTATTATATGCTTTTGGTAAAAAATAACCAAAAAATCATCACCCAGGAGGGAAAACCTTGTATTTAAGGGGTTTTTCATCACTTGTTTGGGGGTGTTGGTGGCTTGTCACACCCAGCTCCGCTGTTCCCATTAACCCTGTGCTGCCACAGGCACTCCCAGCTCACCCAGGGATGCTCCTGGGCTGCTACTCCTTGAACAATGAAATAAATCCAACTGCTCACAGCAATTTCCACGTGGATTTAATAGATCTAGGTGGCAAAATTAATAATTTCCAAGATCTATTAAAAGCTAAGGAATGAAAGTAGAAAACGCTTGAAATTTTTTGACGAGAACAGTTGAGCTTTTCTCAACAAAGCGAAACGGGCAGATAAAGCGGAATTTTTACAAATTAAGAACTCGAAATTCCTCTTCCCCAACCCTCTGGATGTTTGATGTTTCACAAAAAGCCGCACTCACCGAGCAGACCCGTCCCCAGGAGAGGATTGAGGAGCTGCGGCACCACCGAGTTCCCACCGAGCTTGGCCGGGCCCGGCGCTCCCCCGGCACCACCCGAAATGTTGAGCAGCGTCTCCGCCATGGACACCACGGCCGTGCCACCGCCCAGCGCCGACACCGACAGCGCCGCCACCGCCGASGACGTGGTGGTGGTGGTGGTGGCCGTGGCCTGCGAGGAGGTGGCGATGGAAACCTCGGCCGGGTTCAGCACGCCCCCCACCAGCTGCGGGTTGAGCGCCATCAGCGCCGAGGCGCCCGAGGCGGCGGGCAGCAGCAGCGGGTTGGCGGCCGCCTCGGCGCMCGGGAAGCCGGCCATGGCGTTGGGCAGGAGGTTCTCCACCCTGCCGCCGTCGGGCAGYGGCTCGGGGGGCGCGGTGGGCACCGGAGGGGGGTTCTGCTGCTGCAGCAGGTCCGAGATGGTGACGTTGAAGGATGGCACGGGGAGCATGGCGGCCGCCTGCGCCTGGTTCTGCAGAAGCGCCGCCAGCAGCTGGAAGTGCACGGGCTGCAGGACCTGCCCGTCCACGTCGCCCGACAGGAAGGCCAGAGCGGCGTTGAYGTTGGGGTTCAGGAAACCTAAAGGGTTGAGGTTGACCTCGGATTTGCCTTCTCCCGCCGAAGGCTGGAGGACGTTCAGGAGATTCTGGTTGAGGAGGTGCTGCTGATTGACGGGCAGAGAAAGAGGCAGCGAGTTGAGGAGGTTGGGGTTCAGAGCGGGCGGCAGGGCGCTGCTGTTGGCAGAGCTGCTCTGCGGGAAGTGCAGCGGGGTTTCGTGGGTCCCGAAGGGGAATTCACCCGCCATGGGCAGCTGGCCCTGCTGCAGAGGGGTCCCGGCCGCYGTGGTGACGATGACACCGTCCTGGAGCACTGATGTGGTCTTGGTGATGGCGGCTTGGCTGCTGCCGGCGATGGCAATGGATGAGGCCGGGCCTGAGCCCCCTGCCACTGGGAAAATGGGAATATAAACATCATTAATATTATTAATTCTTAATAAACAATTTTCCATTCTCAACAGCCCTGCAGGTACAGCTCATGGGATGTGGGACTGAAAGGTATCAATAATCAGAAAATACCAATTCCTGTTTCTCTAAACAAACGATTCTCTGAAAGGGATTTGCAACCACAGAACGGATAAGAACTGATAAGAACCCTAACCCTAAATCTAACCCAAACCCTAACCTGAACCGTAACCCTAATCCTAAATCTAACCCTAATCCTAACCTTAACCCTAATCCTAACCTTAACCTTAACCCAAACCCTAACCCCAACCCTAACCCAACCCTAACCCAAACCTTTCCATCCTTTTTAATCCAAAATACAATTTTTTAAGTGCTGTAATGTTGTGACAACTCCAAAAGGTACAAAATAAACAGAGAAACTTGGAACTGCCCTGAATTCAAGAGAACAAAGCTCAGCCCTCTCTCCCAGTGCCAWTATCTCATATCAGGGCAGAAATTAAATGATAAAGTAACAAAAGGTGAGGTGAGAGCAAAGTGCAATCAYAAAGCAGAGGAAATCCTACTCTGGGTGAGTGGGTCAAAAACCTCCTTGCTCATAAAAAACAATTTTTATTTATTTATTTAAAAAAATATTTATACAGATAAATAGTCCCCCTCCAGCTTCTGCCCAACCTGACAGAGCAGGAATTGGGCTGGAAAAATCCTGGATTTGGTGTATTTACAGCAGCATTCAGTGAATTTCTCTCAGGCACCAGACTGAAGTGCCAGGACAGGATTTTTGGATCAAAATCTGGATCAAAATCCCATCCCAACAAATCAATATTCCAGGAGAAGGCATCCATGAAAAGCCATCCTCACTGGGATATGGGGCTGTGAGACCAAAGGACAGAATTATCCCAACAACCCCAAAACCCCAAGACCCTCAAAATTCCCAACCCCCAAAACTCCAAAACCCCAAGACCCTCAAAATTCCCAACCCCCAAAACTCCAAAACCCCAAGACTCTCAAAATTCCCAATCCCCTGAACTCCAAGACTGCCAAAACTCCAAAATCCCAAAACTCCAAGACTCCTAAAATTCAAAAATCCCAGAACTCCAGCACTGTGAGCAGTCCCAGGCTCTGAGATGAGATTTGGGAGGTTCTGGATAAGAAATATGAGGAGTTGAACAYCCAAAGGAAATCCCAGCTCTGATTCCCAGTTCCATAAAAACGGACCCCAAAAAACCCAAACATGTGAGCTCAGTAAAAAACAGACCTTAATAATCGTTTAGGGRAAAAAAATGAAGGACTAAAAACCATAAAAGCCCAGGACAAACTCAGATTTGCAGCCGCAGACTCTGCCAAAGGTTCTTTTATCACTTGTTGAGAAAAAGGAACTCTTTGCAACGCAGTGAAAAGAAAAAATATCCAGAGTGCAGGAAAAGCAGATTTGTTTTTCTCTTAGAGGGTCAAAGAAATATTTTGGGAGCAAATAACCAACATATAATTTTTTTAAATTATTACTGTTTTTATTTATGAGCATTTAAAATTCTATTTTATTTCAAGAGCAGATATTTTCCTGTGTGGATTTTATATGTGCTTTTTTTTTAAAGCATTTCTTGACAGTCACTCTCAGGAAAAACCAATGAAATAAATGAGTGTTAGGAATCAGTTTGTGCTTGAAAATATTCACTTAAAATAAAAAAGCAGAGTGGAAGATATTTATCATTAAAACCTCAGAATTGTTCTTCCTAAAGGATTGCATTTAGAGCACACCAATTAGAAAATGATAATTTACAGTTCATTTCCCTGGGAGAAACTCTCCTTTACCCAGCCCAGGATTYAAACAGCCTCAGCTGGAATTTGTGGAATAAAAATAGCCACTAAAGCAGGTGTGTGAAGCACTTAGGAGAGTAAAAGTGAAAAGGAACTTGCTCGTTAGCCATTAACACCTGAAACATTTTTAGAGCTGAGCATAAAAAAATGGGGTGGAAATTCCACTTTCTCAAGTCTTGCTTTTCCCAGGATCCCAAACAGCTGCGATGTTGGCCCCTAAAATTCTGGGGAAAGGGCAAAAAGCCTGGAACTATTATTAGGACAACAGAACTCCATAAAAATAGGCTTTTTTTTTTTTTTAAAGTTTAATTTTTAATATTTAATACCTGACCGAATTTCATCATTGGCTCTTTTCCTTGCCAACWTTCCCTGATTTCTGCATTTTCCCAGCAGCACTGGGGTGAAAAGGACTCAGAGGGAGCCACGAGAGCAGGAGCAGCAATTTGGGATTTTCTCACTTGCTCCGATCTCTCCCCACTCCCAGCTGCATTGCAAATGAAGRAAAACACTCGCCTGCAAATTTGGGAAACTAAAAATCTGATAAAATGCACGATTTCCTTCAATAATGCCCACTCCTCCCTCCAGCAAGGCTTGGAGCTGCCCACTGGTTCCATTTTCAGAGAGAGCTAAATCCGTGTGGGAAATCCCATCCAATTAATTCAGTTTTTCTCTGTAATAATATTAATAAGACTCATCTTTCTATAAATTTATTATTATTTTTTACAAATCTTTTAACTTTTACCGATATAAATTCCTAGAAAATTCCATTGTAAGSGTCTGGTGAGCTCCAAGACTGAGAGTTGTTGGCAAATTTGAATTTTAAGATGCAAACAACACCAGAAACTCCCAAACCATGTCCAAGCAAGCACTGAATTTTCCTTATTCTTCTTATTTGAATAAAAAATTAATAATTTTCCTCTCCCCAAAATAATAAGGGAAAATAAGGTACAATAGGAAAAAAAAAAAGCTGGAAATTTAAAAGTAATTCCTGATAATTGCTCCCAAACAGGTAAAAGTCGCTCTGGATGTTTCTATAAACCCCAAATCAATAGGATATTTAAATTTCCTGGATAATTAGAAGAGTAGGTGCTTGGCATCCTGTCTAGGCGTGATTCCAGTTTAATAAGAATTTTTTCCTCAGACACAAGTGCCAAAAAGGTGTCAGATGCTCTTCTGACCCTGGAATCCAGAAGCTTTCCTGATTTCGTAAATCTAGGATATCTAAAGTGATTTTGGGGAGGAAATCCACACTTGTTTGATGGGATTTTTTCTTTTTTTTAGCACTTTACATGAAGCTGATTAAAACAAAGCCTCCTAAACCCTTTGGGAGTCCTGTTTTCCGTGTTCCATTCCTAATTTTCTTTGCTGCATTGAAACAAATTTCTCTCCTCACCCTCAATGATTGGTGTTGTGCTTCTCCCCATTTAATGACATTTTACTATTTCTATTCTGTATATTTCACCAGGAAAAACTCCCATTCCAGGGAAGGCATGACAGCATTTTCTTGCCAAATTTTTTGTCACTACTGAAGTTYGCCACCTGGGATTTCTCCTATTTTTGATGTTCTGAGGTTTGATACTTGGGACAATTGATCGTCTTCATTTGCTGTGGTTATTGGGGTTCCCTTAATTTCCTTTATCAGCTGTATCAAGTTCTAGTCCCAAATATTTTCACTCACATCTATCCATCCATCCATC